CTGTAATTGCTAGAGGGCCCCACATAATATTAATATTATGTTACGGGCCCTACCATTGCTTTGAGGGATTCACACGGATTTACAAAACACTATAAGCTTTTCATAAGGCTTACTTGCATATTTATGAGATTTACATATGTTTTACGTATACTTCCACTCATATATGAGGTTTACATAAGGTTTATAAGGGTTTAAGAACATCTGTTTGTACATTTTATGTGGATTTGCAACACTAGATGAGATTTACGTGGATTTATTTAGTCATCAATGAGGGTGGAGATGTTTCCATATAAACTCAACAGATGATAACTCAAATAAAGAAACATTTTGTAAATTTTATTATTCTGATAACATTATAAAAGATTAAAATTTGTTTATATTAAAAAAAATCAATATTTATACACTGACGCGTTATACCTTCATGAGGCTCGGTCATAATTGAATTAGGGGGCCTTTCGTACAGTGTTGACTTCAGACATTTTTTCTTCGGAGGAATTTTTTGGGGGGAATCACCCGGTTTTCTCGACCTCTGAAGGGTTGTTCTGAGCTGCGACTGAGATTATAAAAGATTGGTTTCGGCCCTCCCCTGTTGTGTTGGTACGGCCCCAGGAAATTGCTCTATTTGCCCATAGGACAACGCGCCACTGTATTTATAAATCTTTGTTTTTTTTTCGAAAAATAAAAGCGAATTAATAAAGAAATAATAAATTCCAAGTACTTATTTAAAAAATATTATTTAATATCCCTTATTTAAAAATGTAAAATTCAATCTTAACATAAACAAAAACTGTAAGAATTTTTTAGAATTTTAAAATAAAATTTTTCCAAATGATTCGAAAAATCAATTTTAAAAGGAAATTATAAATGTTTCTATTAAAATAATAATTTTGGAAGAATGTAATTTGCCTTAAATAAACCCCATATACAACCATTTTGATAACAATAACGCTCTTCAAACTCTACGACGCGACGCGACGCGACGCGACTCGACGCGCACCGTAGCATCGCTTCGTATAAAGCGCACAGAATATATATAAATATAACACTATATAATTCAATATTCACTTCTACTAAATTAAATATTCTTTTTTTTTTTGTAATTTCATAGAGCAGAACGACCTTGACTAAACAGGATATAGACAATATTCATAAATTTTCGAATAATCTCTGCCAGGAATAATCTTAAAATAACAAAAGATAACTCATAAACTTAATCATATTTTTTCATTATAAGTTATTAACATAACAATTGTATATTATTTATAGATTATTTATACGCTTTTTAAAGTTATATTTACATAATTAAACTGATAAAAAGCGTCAACAGTTGACAACAAAAGTTACTCTTAACCATTTTTCTTCTTCCCTCGACTCTTATTTTTTTTAAGAAAAAATAATTATAAAAACCCATTAAAACTAAATAAATTGCAATTTAGTGATAATTAACAAGGCTTATCTTAGATCCTTTGAGGTTTTTTTTTAAAAAGAAATGAAACATCTTTTCCTACTACTCATTAACTCTGACAATTCTGTTTTAATGTCTTTAATGCGATACTTTTAACTTTCATTTTCCTCCTCCTTTTCTTTGTACAGTAATTTATGTACTCGTGACTTATGTCTAGACAGATTATCTTTGAGAAAAGTTTACACTTTAGCTCTTAATCACTTGAAGAAAGTAGAGGAAAAAAACCTTTTAAAATAATAATTCTTGAATGAATACAGAGTTTAGAAACATATCTGTATAGTGTTTTTGATTATAAGTTAGCTCAAATTTTTATTAAAATCATATTAAAAATTAATTAAGAAACAGCTAAATATAAACTTTGAATGAATTAATATTGAGGCTTTTAATTAATATTTCTCCTCCCCCGATTTTTAGCAGAAATGAAATTCTCAAACTGGAAAGGGATCGCGATTTCTTATTTCTTAAGAGGAACATCCAGTTGTACGCGTTGTGTTGCTTATATATAAGTATGTATGTATGTTAGGTAAAGGGTTATATACCGTTCAACACATCCGCACCAAATTTGGCATGAATATTCTACAATATCCTAGGAAAATACCGTGAGAATCTCCACCCCAACCATCCCTAAAGCCCACTCTCTCTTAACTTATGTATGTTTGTTAGATAAATGGATCCCGTTCAACTCATCCACACCATATTTGGCATAGATTTTCTTCGTCATCCTAAAAAAAAAATACGGAAGGGATCACCCAACCATCTCTAATACACAAATTTCTCTCAATTATTTCCTCAGAAGGCACAAGGGTTATTAATTTAAGCTTCAAAGAGAGTCAACAAAATCGCTCTCCCATATACACACCAATATCCAAACATACAGAAAAACCCCCTAACAAATTATTAGGGAATTTTTCTGTATGTTTGCACTTCGGTATTTCAAGGTCCTCTGAGATCAGAAATGTAAAATTCTTCGGTAGGATGATTTTTCGACCGATTGACATACTTTTCCTCTGTTATATATAAGTAAAAACTGAAATTTTTTTGTTTAAAATCTACCAAAATTTTTATCGATTTTCACTTAAGAAGCGTTAAAAACTTTTAAATTAATTACAATGTAAATAAATAATCTTATATCCATAAATTTCAAGTAATTCAAGCTAATAAATAATTTAGTATTGTTCTCCTTTTATTAAAAGATCTTAATTGCCATCATCTTGCATATCTTAATATATTGTTCATTATTTAAAACTTATTTAATCATTTATTACTAATTAATAGAGAAACCAAACAAAAAAAAAATATTAAATAAACACATTAATTAATGTATTAATTTTGATGAGATTTCTGAATTTCATGTTGCACTTACGTAACTTGCTAATTAAACTTATATTTATTAAGTTTTAAATTACTGTCCAATCGAATTAATTCTTAAATATAGATTCAATATACGTAATTATTTTGTTTTGATGTAAATTTATATTATTACAAAAGATATTAATACGGAATTTCTCATTAATTGAATATATAGTATTGACGTTCCTTTCTGTATAAGTTACATTATTTTATGTAAACTTTTCCATTTAACTTTGTTTTTACTTATTTTACGTTTTTAAAAGGATATTTTCGTTACTATTTTTGCGCATCTTAATTAATTTTTTTTATCATTTAGATTTATTTAATAAATTTTATATATTTATGAATAAAATAATAAGTAAATCGGATCTTTTATATTTTGGTGAACTTTTTTTTGTATTTCGTATATTTCCATTTATTTTCGCATCGTCTTCACATTTATTTGCCCTTACTTCACGCCATCTTCGCGAATATTTACCTTTATCGCACATAATCTTCGCAAATATTTACCTTTACCTCACATAATCTTCGCAAATATTTACCTTTACCTCAGATAATCTTCGCAAATATTTGTCTTTACCTCACATAATCTTCGCAAATATTTACCTTTACCTCAGATAATCTTCGCGAATATTTTCCTCAGATAATCTTCGCAAATATTTGTCTTTACCTCAGATAATCTTCGCAAATATTTGTCTTTACCTCACATAATCTTCGCAAATATTTACCTTTACCTCAGATAATCTTCGCGAATATTTTCCTCAGATAATCTTCGCAAATATTTGTCTTTACCTCAGATAATCTTCGCAAATATTTACCTCACACCATCATCGCGAATATTTGCGTTTATTTTAATATATTTTCATATCATCGTGAATATATCCAAATCATCTTCATGAAATTATATATTATTTTTACATATTGCATTTTATATTATTTCCAATAATATATACGAGTTTGACATTCACGTGACGATATATATTACACGCCAATTACTTCTACTTTCCTATTTATTATTCTATATTTTATATTATTTATTAAACATATAACTCAAAACGATTTAGATATCAATAATAAAATATATTTAAAAAGTTTTCTAAAGACTGACATTTGTCTGTAACAACATAACTAAATATTTAAAATACCTTACATGAATAAGGTGTAAATCATATTGAATTAAATTATAGCAAAAAATATTTTTTGAAGTTTTAAAATAATCTATGAAACTTCTCCAACTTGTTCGAGTCATTAGAAAAAAATCTAGAACATTGTTACTGGACTTTATTTTTATTCCTAATAATTGCTATCATCACCTTTAAGTTTTCAGATAGGTTCGCGAGATATTAAGAGAATGGGCCATATCTCCCGAACCAATAATTCGATTTTCCTGAAAATTGCTAGAAAATTTCCTTCCTAATACACAAACCACCCTGCAAAATTTCAAAAATTTTTGACAAAAGGCGCAATAGTTATTAAGCTTTAAATTGGGGGAACAAAATCATGCCTCTCATACACGCACACACATTAATCTCCATACATACAGGAAAAAATCCCTAATTTTTTAAAAATTTCCTTTTGTTTCAATTTCTCCGAGTCCAGAAGTGTAAAAATCTTTGGGAAAGGGTCAATTTTTTTCGACATAATTTCCCTCTGTTTTATAACAACAGGGAAAATGATAACTGCATATCATCCTACTCCTTGGTATAAACAAGATGATAAACTAGATAATAAAAAAGACTCCGGAATGAACTTTATTATTAAATTTCTTTAATTCCTACGATAGCGATGCAATATTAATTATCTTATCGACGTGTTTCGATTAACACCATTTAAACAATAACAATACAGTTTTGAAAGGTAAATTATTATTATTATATAATCGATTTTTTTTTATTTTTGTTGGTCACAAAGTAATTTTTATTCAGTTTACAATTAGAATATTTCATGCAATTTAGAGAGAAAGAAAGAAATTTTTAACTGGGAAAAACAGTTAGATTTATATCCTACTTAGCATAATGGAACATTCGCCACTACCCTATCATCTAGAATTCAGTAATAACCCCCCCAAAAAAGGCTCGGTCGTAATCGATCGTAAACTTTCCAAGTAATATCTTTCAATATAACTTTACTAAAATTTAGGATTGAATTTTTTAACATTTTAATGCATGTAAATAACTATATTAAAAAAAAATCGTCTCTACTATTCTGCAGAAAGTAAGTTACATTAAATTGGTGCTTGGAACTCTATCGATGTTTTAAATATTAAAATATATATATAATGTAATATTTTGGATATATATATAATTTAAAACATCCCTTTCCTTTAAAAAAATATATAAATAGCTTTTTTTTTTTAAATTATAGAATGAGCTTTTTGGACAAGAAATTGACAATACAATTTCTGCTGAGGAATCTGGAATTTAATCCGCGCTGATCTCTACTGTACGGTTACAAATTGTTTGTTTTATAATTATTTTTTAAAATTAACGTTTGGCAATTTGTATATATAGTATTTATACACTGAGTTGTCTATTTTCAGGCTTATATTCTTCTATAATGTAGGTCATAGTTGTGTATAATCGGCAATAAGTTAGGCCTGAATTCCATTATGCTACATCTAATTACTTCAGTGAATAAGAAATAGGAAATAGGAATAGGAATAGGAAAAAAAAAATCTGTCACGCTCTACACGTTGCAGTTTGTTCGTTCTAAATTTCCATAGAAGTAGAATGTTCATATTTTTTCCCCTCTATTTTAAAACAAAATGGAGCATTTTTAAAGAATACGCGCCTTTAATTCGCTTGCAAAAAATCAACAAAAATAAACTTGGATGTTGAAACCATTAGGAAACTTTTACTGTGAACGTAGCGGGCGTTTTAGTACTAATAATTTAAAAATTTTCTTATTGCATCTCATAAATTAATGATGCTCCATTGCGTGCGTTGAGGCGAAATTATCAATATTTCATAAAGCATCCATTATAAAAATGATCATTAAAGATTACTTTATTTCTATAAATATTACTGAAACTATTTTTGGTATTTCTTTCCTATTTTATAAGAGGATATTAATCATTTAAAGAATAAATTTAGCGCTAAGAATCGCAGCGCGGCGTCGCGTCGAGCGACGCGAACGTTGCAAAATAATAAGAATTGTATGAATACTGAAGTTTGTCACATTTTTACCCCTGAAATTTCTTTAAGAAAATTAACTTTACGAAGCTTAAATCTTATGAATTTATTTAAAATATCGCGAAAATTGATTGTTGCTGGACTTTCCTGGCATTCCATATATATTTTCGTCTCTAAGAAACGTGTAAAAAAATTCGTTGAATTTCCCGGGTTTTCTTTACGTCTATAACTAATACCTAAATAGGGGCCAGTTTCTCATAAAATAACCCCGGGAGGTAGAGTCGCCCACGTATCGAGTAGGCATATACGAATAAACAAATATGGCCTCATCCCTTTAATATCTCCCGAACCAATGGCCCGATTTTCGTGAAAATTTGTAAGAACATTTTCCCCTAAAATAGAAACCTCCCTAAAAAATTTCAGAAAATTTCGACAAGAAGAACAGGAGTAATGAAGCTTCAAATTGGGAAAACTAAATCGTGCCCCGCACGTACATACAGAAAAATATCCCAACTTTTTTGCATTTCTAGACGTTTCAATACTTCTTTTTTTGTTATATAACACCGGAAAAGTAAAATACAAGCAATTGTCCTATGATTTAATAAGCTAGATCTATAACGGTGCATTTAAATTTGCTGCACACTTAAATCCATACAAATTATCTCGAAAATTGTAACTGAAATAGAGCCATTTAGTGTATAAAAAAAGAAGTGACTACGAGAATGTTTAATAAGCATAATAAATTTGCAAGAAAGAAGAATAAAAGAGGAAAAAGAAAGAAAAAAAAAAAGCCAGAATTATTTTCTCAATGATCTCCATTATCCAATCGATAGCTATTTTTATATCCCTTAGCACACTAAATCTAGCATTTTCTTCACGCTCCACGAATTTCTTCACGCTCACGTATATAGATAAGGGTGTAACCAAAGTATTTTCAGAAAGTATAATTTTCTTTAGAAATTTTTATCATGATGATGATAATAAAAGGGAGGAGGGAGAGAAGAAAAAAAATCTTTAAATAGTTTCCATTTCATTGATCATTTTTGTTTGGGCGTTGTCTTCGCTTTTATCTCATTAACCGAAGAATTAAATATCTAAAAATTGTACAGAAAAAAAAAACTGTATTTATTATATTCGGAGATACAAATATAGATAATTCTTTCCAACTAAATTAGAGAGAATCAATCGTGTAATGAATTAATAATGATAATGATCATCTACCTCTTCAATTATTCATGCAAACTACTTGAGTGGGTATTTTTAGAAAGGTAGTAAAAAAACTTTGTTATTTTTTATTATTATTATTATTATATTTCCCCCTTATTTTAACTGTTTCGTATGGTAAAATATGGTTGGCTGATCACTGACAAGTGATAAAAATAAAAGAAGTTATATCAACTTCTTTATTGAGTCGTAGATGATGCTTTTAAGTATGCTCTTATGTTTAAATTTATTTGTAAATTATGTATAATAGTTTAATGTCGTACTATACACACGTGTCCATAATTTAATACATGAATATAGAGAACTGTAGGCGAATAATCGATGTCTAACGCAACAACTTGTAGGATTTGACAAATCAAAGCCATAAAAGTCTTTAGTGAGAAAGATACATACAGTTGTTGAAAGTAGGGGAGAGAAGGGAGGGAAAGTGCTTACCAATACCCAGGCAGACAGACCTGTCAGTGTGGAATATGTCCACCTCGAACTGTGATGTAACACTCACAACGTCATTATTGGTGACGTTTTCTAGCTCACACCTCTAGTAATTGTGTTCGTTATTAAGTTTCGAACACGTGTGTATTATATTCTATACGTAGTTTATGTAAGTTAAATTATATTTATTAAAAAAAAAAACACTACATACTACCTAATTTTACATATATACTTTCTGAATTATTAATTAAACCAGTATATAAATTATACGGGAATTTGATCTTTAAAAATTTCTCGTAAGTTAAAACAATTTATTAAACGAATTTAATGTAAAAGCTGAACGAAAGTATATTATTTTATTAAATATTTAAACGTGTTTTTTTAATATTCTTCTTTAAAATTAATGCATAATTAATTATATTAATTACAAGTATGAATATGGGTAATACAGTGATTAGAAATATACCATTAACAAAATTAGTTTGAAATGTTTATTATATTTTATTTTAATTACACTGTCTGTTTATTGATATTCTATACAGAAAAATCTTTAATGTAAAAAATCGCTTGCCTTCCGGTTCAGATAGGAAGTTCGTTGAGATTTAATACATGTTAAATCTCCTTAATCCGGCAACCTTGGTATCTTGGCATTGCCGGACTACAGAAATTAACCTATAAGACCTGTACAGAAACTCAACTACTCTATGGAATATATATGTGTATAATTCCATACACATATTCCGGTATTATTAAAGCTTCAGGTAGTAATATAACCATTAATACTTCCAAACAATATTCTTGTTGTTTCGTGTAATATAAAGCCTAAAACAAAAATATGTTTTTAGCTAGATTACGTTAGAAGTCAGTAGGGTTTTCATGCACTGCTGACCGTGAAGACCCTGCTGATCCTAATGACTCTGCACACTACTAAGTGAACAGTGTCTACAAGGTATGAAGAATCATTAGAGTCTCTATGCTCATCTGGTACGTATACATTAGAAAAAGAGGATTTTCTACGTTGGAATGACTTATTATTGACCCTTCTTCAACTACTGTTGCAATGTAATTTGCATTTGGTACTTTGTATTTCTCTTAATTTTCTTTGAAACAAACAAACAGACATAACACATCTACGAACTATCAACCTGTATTAAATACAGTACTGTACTGAATACAGAGGATTTCATTTGAAACAGTTTTTTCCCCTTTTCTTAGTAGAAACTACAATTTTTGAGCGATTAACCGACTTTCGAGCCACTCTATAATTAATCTACAAATAGATTTACGGATAAAGTTTGTACAGACATACGAATCAACGACTTTAGAAATCATCAATATCTAAAATTTATTATTATTTCTTATTACAGTTACTCGACAATGCAATAATTCATAGGAAATTTAGTCATTGCTAAATGACCAACGACTCTTTGGTTCATTTCTCTTCTTGACAGTATTGTGCTATACAAACATTGATACTGATATTGATAACAAAAGGCCGCTGAATTTCATAAGATTTAATTATTTAATTCTCCAAAAATTCGTGTCGACGTAGAAGAACTTACAGTAAAATAAAAAAATCTCACAGCTATTTTTTTGACTATAAAATTACAATTGGGAGTGAAATCCTTAGTGTAATCAATAATTAATAATCATATTTTATGGATTTTGCATCAATTCTCGTCATAATTTCAAGAGAAAAGTCAAATATATTGATTGAAAAAGTTGTCTATACATCTTTCAATAATCTATTTTTGTAATAAGTATTACAAACTTATTACTCTATAGATAAACATTTTTCTATGTAAAATATCAAAAATAAACAGGCCTTTACATTGATGATTATGTATGCAATTAATTCAATAATTCATATACATTATCTAATGAAGGACATACAATTGTTTCGTATATAAATCTACAGTACTTTATAAATATCCAATATTTTCATTTAATTATAGAAATTTTATATTTGCGAGAAAGAGAGAGAGAGAGAGAGAGAGAGAGAGAGAGATTTAAGTGTAGATTATTCAACACGTATTAAATTCTAATGCTCACAGTTTGATACATTAAATTGTATTTAACACAGTTAATTTAAGCGTTTTAAGGTAACTTAATTTCAAAAGTATTTAACGTTAAAGTATGTTGGTAGAATATTATAACATAAAATGCCTTCCTTATCATTTAATTAATCTTGTATATGTGTTGAATGAGTTATCTGTATCACGTATAATAAAGTAATTTGATGAGGCACAATTGGATATCGTTTCAATTTTCTAGGAAGAATTAGAAAATGTTCAAGTATAAATAATAAAACATTGTATACTGTATTTGCAGTAGTAATTTTCCTTATGTAGTAATTTACATATACATTATACAATGTTTCCTTTTTTTGTATCATACAAAAAGATTAAGTAAATTTAATTGATATTTTTGTCTTGCAGATTTTTATTTAAAAAAGGAAAGAGACTCGCTGAAAATTCAGTTTTAATGACACTAAATAACGACGATTACGTGTTGACAAAGATTGATTCATATCATAACTAGTCATAACTATCATCATTGAATCATTATAAAACTTGTTGATTATAGTTATGAGTTTATGTGTTCAGTTATATATATATATATAAATGTAAATATAATTTCTGCAATTGTATAGAGCAATTATGATAATGAGAAAGACAAATAAATCTGTGAATAGTTTCCTATTATTAATTTGTAAAGGACTACATTGTTTATTTTAATTACCTGATTAATAAACATTAAAAAATAACAAACAAAATGTTTACATACAAATAAAATGTTATATTAATTTATTATTGATCTAATTCCTTATATTTTGAATTTATAATCTGTTTATTTTACACTTATTATAAAGGATAACTTGCTCATTAATTTATTTAATATTTCTCCTTTGCCATTATAATAAATATTACATAATGGTAATTAATTATTACGCATAATCGGAATATTGTTTAGAATTTATTAATTATTATAAAATAGCAAAAAAATAGCTTAATTTTGAGGGCAGAGATGTTTTTTTTATAAAAATTGTAACTGCTAATAACGAGTAAAATCTTTATTAAGTCCGACACCACTCGAGATATGACACGTAATTCCCTCTATCTCCTCACCCCTTCGATCTATAACCACCAAAATTTAAGAGGATAAATCTCCCTAATACACAAACATTCCAGCAAAATTTCAGAAAATTTCGACAAAGGGTACGTGAGTTATTAAGCTTTAAAATAGGTGAATAAATATAAGGGAAAGAAGAAAAAACCCCAACTTTTTTCCTAATTCTTAAACTTGTTAAAAATTAGAATGATTTATATAAGATAAACTCAGTTTTATAAAATAAAATATATAAATATTTATATATTTGAATATTATGACGTAACATATAAGTTATTTATATACATTTCGTTCTTAATCTACATCATAATATAAATATTTCAATATTAGAGCCAAAATGCATTACTAGAAACATTTCGGTTCCAATATTGTTGTAAAAACCATAGAGAACGACCATCAAAAGGAAATTTTTTATGGCATTATCAGGCTATACATTTCGAGATACAGGATACGAAAATGTCAACACTTCCTCTTTCCCATAAAATCCGATATATTACATCACATTATAATAATTGAAATGAAAGAAGAATAAATCATTTTATAAAATTTTATAGCCCATTTGCAAGAATGTAATTGTTTGTACAATGTGTTTTGTGTGTGTCTGGGTGTGTTGCATGTGTGTATATATATATATATATGTATATATATGCACAGTATCAATTTATCAAGTATTGCATGTCTTCTGTATACATCTAAAAATACTGAGAAGAATAGCTTATTATTTATATCGATATATTAAAGTTTTCACTTTTGGCTTTATTCCAAAAGACAGCTGAATGTGACCTAAAATATTAGCATTTAATATATCTTTCTAACAAATAAAAAGGAAAATTGTTCATGATAAACAGCGACTCTACTCTATACGTTACATATTTAATTAATATAATCAATTATTTTTATATAATTACCGATGTTTTTCCCCCGTATCTCATGTTCTGTTTATCGACAAATCGTTCAGAATAATGTATTTTAACTGTTCTGTTTTCTGTAACGATGACATTTGCATTGAAATGTCCTCTCTCTCTCTCTCTCGTATGCCATAAAAACAAAATGGCGATTTCTTAAAAGCCTTCGTCGTCTATGACGTCAACTCATATTAAAACGTAATCAAATTTTAAAATTTATTCATATATAGTACTATTTTCTTATAGCCATACTTTCCCACTGTTATATAGGCCTATAACAACCCAGAAAGTAAAAAAAATTACAATTGAAATTATATAAAACTCATTGAAACAACGGTTAAGATTTTATCTCTTGAGGATCCACCAAAAAAAAAAAAAAAAGCTAAAAGCAACAACACGGTTATAAAAGTTCCTTGGACAATTATTCACCCTCAAAGTTTCCGCCACGTCATTTCCGGTTACAAGTCACGTGACGGTCATAATGGTACCATTTCGCGAGAGAGAAACTCACCGATAAGTAGATTCGTAATCAAAGTATTGATACATATAAAAGCGTATGACGTATATCGTTCATTCATTCAGACACTTCGATTATTAACTAAGCTAATAAGTAGTTTAGATTGATGCCCTTTCAGTTAATATTTTGAATTACTAATCATGATTAAACTATTAATATGAGTGGATGACAAGCAGCTTAGTCATGATTAGTAATCAAAATACCCCTAAAAATAGCTGATGTTCAATTCAGTAGCATGCCATGTATCATATCAGTTTGTCAGATGCTTTGATTACTAATATCATTAATAACTCGCTTGTCATCTGAATTCAGTTAAATGCTTTGGTTGCTAATCATGATTAAGTTGCCTGTCATAGAAGTATCCAATAACTCCATCTTGAATAATGTTTCGTGTTCTTTCAATGAGAGAATTCCACTTAGTAACGTATTTAAAAGTGAAAAATACTCGTAATTAATAGATTAAATTATGAAATATTTCACAAATTTTTAAACTTAATTATTTAATTTTCGTAACCCACAAGTAGCCAAGTAGGTAACATCACCGAACACGTGGAGTGTTACGCTTCTTCACGTTTGTAAAAACTTAATTAGGGGGCCAATTTCCCATAAAAGTCCTCCGGAAATCACGTTATTTTTTAAATGAAATGACGATTAAAAATTGCATCCCGGTATTATACAACAGTTAAATACATTTTTATACGAAAATTTCATGCTCTTAACACAGTACAACATCCTTTCTTTATAGAAAAAAAAAAAGGAATAAAAATATCAAAGTTTTTTTTCTTTTCCTGTTTCCAGAACAATACCAAGATTCGTAGATCTTACATTGAATTTATCCGGTTCCATATGGATGAAATTCAAGTAAATACAATGATGTTAAGGAAATGTTTACGACAGACAAACGTTTCTATAAATACGTTTCTTTCTCTGTGTTTTATACATAAGACATCAGACATAAAAGATTTTAACGAAAATTAGAATTTTTTTATTTATATGATAATCGGTTTTGACAAATAGTTTCGAAAGGAATATCTCTACCAATTTTTTCAATTCGTATCGACATAAATTATTACGATTTTTATGCACCATGTCTTGCATACTTCATAAGAAACTTCATATATTCATAAGGACTTCAATACTAACTTACGTTTTCTATAGCACGTTCGATTATATTTGTATAAAACGAACACAATGTCTTCGTCACAATACCGGGCTTCAATTTTTTAAACACATTTAAATTTAAAAATAAAAATGACGCGACTTCCGGTCCAAATTCGAATTTCTTACATAGTTAATTGGGGTCTCGTCCCCTAACTTTCCAAATCTAGTCTCGATTTTCATCTGTTCTCGAGATTAATAAAGAACGACGGACAGACAGACGAATTTAGAGAGAGAGAGAGAGAGAGTTAAAGTTACTTATATAATTACAATAGAAGGTTATTTATGGCATCGTAAATTAAGATGTTGGATTAATTGTATAATATTTATACATTAAACACAGCACATCCTGTATAGCGTGAATTATACAGTTTATTTTTTATTAAATAATATTCTAAGAAAATTCACCACATAAATTATTCTACTTTCCCCTGTTCTGTTATACGTAATAACAGGGGGAAAGTATCGCGATCATTAAAAAAAATGACCCCCCTTCTCCCAAAACTTTTACAATTTTGGACTCGGTGTGCCTTGAAAAGTCCATAAATGCAATAAAACCCGGGTGTTTTCTCCTGTATGTATAGATTTTTTTAGTGTTTGTGTGTATGTGGGGAGGGGGCGATTTTATTCACCAAATTTAAAGCTTAATAACTCCCGTGTCTTTTGTCGAAAATTTCTGAAATTTTGCAGAGAGGTTCGTGTATGAGATGTATTAACGCTACTAAATTTTAGTGGTTAAAGGTCAAGGGGGTGGAGAGATAGACAAGGTCATGTGTCATATCTCGAGTAGAGTCGGACTTTACACTCTTGATTAGTATTTACAAATTTTTTTAAGAAATAAAATTCATCTCTACTCTCAAAATTAAGTTTTTAACCGTTTTATAATAATTAATANAATCTATGAAACTTCTCCAACTTGTTCGAGTCATTAGAAAAAAATCTAGAACATTGTTACTGGACTTTATTTTTATTCCTAATAATTGCTATCATCACCTTTAAGTTTTCAGATAGGTTCGCGAGATATTAAGAGAATGGGCCATATCTCCCGAACCAATAATTCGATTTTCCTGAAAATTGCTAGAAAATTTCCTTCCTAATACACAAACCACCCTGCAAAATTTCAAAAATTTTTGACAAAAGGCGCAATAGTTATTAAGCTTTAAATTGGGGGAACAAAATCATGCCTCTCATACACGCACACACATTAATCTCCATACATACAGGAAAAAATCCCTAATTTTTTAAAAATTTCCTTTTGTTTCAATTTCTCCGAGTCCAGAAGTGTAAAAATCTTTGGGAAAGGGTCAATTTTTTTCGACATAATTTCCCTCTGTTTTATAACAACAGGGAAAATGATAACTGCATATCATCCTACTCCTTGGTATAAACAAGATGATAAACTAGATAATAAAAAAGACTCCGGAATGAACTTTATTATTAAATTTCTTTAATTCCTACGATAGCGATGCAATATTAATTATCTTATCGACGTGTTTCGATTAACACCATTTAAACAATAACAATACAGTTTTGAAAGGTAAATTATTATTATTATTATATAATCGATTTTTTTTATTTTTGTTGGTCACAAAGTAATTTTTATTCAGTTTACAATTAGAATATTTCATGCAATTTAGAGAGAAAGAAAGAAATTTTTAACTGGGGAAAACAGTTAGATTTATATCCTACTTAGCATAATGGAACATTCGCCACTACCCTATCATCTAGAATTCAGTAATAACCCCCCCAAAAAAGGCTCGGTCGTAATCGATCGTAAACTTTCCAAGTAATATCTTTCAATATAACTTTACTAAAATTTAGGATTGAATTTTTTAACATTTTAATGCATGTAAATAACTATATTAAAAAAAATCGTCTCTACTATTCTGCAGAAAGTAAGTTACATTAAATTGGTGCTTGGAACTCTATCGATGTTTTAAATATTAAAATATATATATAATGTAATATTTTGGATATATATATAATTTAAAACATCCCTTTCCTTTAAAAAAATATATAAATAGCTTTTTTTTTTTAAATTATAGAATGAGCTTTTTGGACAAGAAATTGACAATACAATTTCTGCTGAGGAATCTGGAATTTAATCCGCGCTGATCTCTACTGTACGGTTACAAATTGTTTGTTTTATAATTATTTTTTAAAATTAACGTTTGGCAATTTGTATATATAGTATTTATACACTGAGTTGTCTATTTTCAGGCTTATATTCTTCTATAATGTAGGTCATAGTTGTGTATAATCGGCAATAAGTTAGGCCTGAATTCCATTATGCTACATCTAATTACTTCAGTGAATAAGAAATAGGAAATAGGAATAGGAATAGGAAAAAAAAAATCTGTCACGCTCTACACGTTGCAGTTTGTTCGTTCTAAATTTCCATAGAAGTAGAATGTTCATATTTTTTCCCCTCTATTTTAAAACAAAATGGAGCATTTTTAAAGAATACGCGCCTTTAATTCGCTTGCAAAAAATCAACAAAAATAAACTTGGATGTTGAAACCATTAGGAAACTTTTACTGTGAACGTAGCGGGCGTTTTAGTACCAATAATTTAAAAATTTTCTTATTGCATCTCATAAATTAATGATGCTCCATTGCGTGCGTTGAGGCGAAATTATCAATATTTCATAAAGCATCCATTATAAAAATGATCATTAAAGATTACTTTATTTCTATAAATATTACTGAAACTATTTTTGGTATTTCTTTCCTATTTTATAAGAGGATATTAATCATTTAAAGAATAAATTTAGCGCTAAGAATCGCAGCGCGGCGTCGCGTCGAGCGACGCGAACGTTGCAAAATAATAAGAATTGTATGAATACTGAAGTTTGTCACATTTTTACCCCTGAAATTTCTTTAAGAAAATTAACTTTACGAAGCTTAAATCTTATGAATTTATTTAAAATATCGCGAAAATTGATTGTTGCTGGACTTTCCTGGCATTCCATATATATTTTCGTCTCTAAGAAACGTGTAAAAAAATTCGTTGAATTTCCCGGGTTTTCTTTACGTCTATAACTAATACCTAAATAGGGGCCAGTTTCTCATAAAATAACCCCGGGAGGTAGAGTCGCCCACGTATCGAGTAGGCATATACGAATAAACAAATATGGCCTCATCCCTTTAATATCTCCCGAACCAATGGCCCGATTTTCGTGAAAATTTGTAAGAACATTTTCCCCTAAAATAGAAACCTCCCTAAAAAATTTCAGAAAATTTCGACAAGAAGAACAGGAGTAATGAAGCTTCAAATTGGGAAAACTAAATCGTGCCCCGCACGTACATACAGAAAAATATCCCAACTTTTTTGCATTTCTAGACGTTTCAATACTTCTTTTCTGTTATATAACACCGGAAAAGTAAAATACAAGCAATTGTCCTATGATTTAATAAGCTAGATCTATAACGGTGCATTTAAATTTGCTGCACACTTAAATCCATACAAATTATCTCGAAAATTGTAACTGAAATAGAGCCATTTAGTGTATAAAAAAAGAAGTGACTACGAGAATGTTTAATAAGCATAATAAATTTGCAAGAAAGAAGAATAAAAGAGGAAAAAGAAAGAAAAAAAAAAAGCCAGAATTATTTTCTCAATGATCTCCATTATCCAATCGATAGCTATTTTTATATCCCTTAGCACACTAAATCTAGCATTTTCTTCACGCTCCACGAATTTCTTCACGCTCACGTATATAGATAAGGGTGTAACCAAAGTATTTTCAGAAAGTATAATTTTCTTTAGAAATTTTTATCATGATGATGATAATAAAAGGGAGGAGGGAGAGAAGAAAAAAAATCTTTAAATAGTTTCCATTTCATTGATCATTTTTGTTTGGGCGTTGTCTTCGCTTTTATCTCATTAACCGAAGAATTAAATATCTAAAAATTGTACAGAAAAAAAAAACTGTATTTATTATATTCGGAGATACAAATATAGATAATTCTTTCCAACTAAATTAGAGAGAATCAATCGTGTAATGAATTAATAATGATAATGATCATCTACCTCTTCAATTATTCATGCAAACTACTTGAGTGGGTATTTTTAGAAAGGTAGTAAAAAAACTTTGTTATTTTTTATTATTATTATTATTATATTTCCCCCTTATTTTAACTGTTTCGTATGGTAAAATATGGTTGGCTGATCACTGACAAGTGATAAAAATAAAAGAAGTTATATCAACTTCTTTATTGAGTCGTAGATGATGCTTTTAAGTATGCTCTTATGTTTAAATTTATTTGTAAATTATGTATAATAGTTTAATGTCGTACTATACACACGTGTCCATAATTTAATACATGAATATAGAGAACTGTAGGCGAATAATCGATGTCTAACGCAACAACTTGTAGGATTTGACAAATCAAAGCCATAAAAGTCTTTAGTGAGAAAGATACATACAGTTGTTGAAAGTAGGGGAGAGAAGGGAGGGAAAGTGCTTACCAATACCCAGGCAGACAGACNCGAGAGAGAGAGAGAGAGAGAGAGAGAGAGATTTAAGTGTAGATTATTCAACACGTATTAAATTCTAATGCTCACAGTTTGATACATTAAATTGTATTTAACACAGTTAATTTAAGCATTTTAAGGTAACTTAATTTCAAAAGTATTTAACGTTAAAGTATGTTGGTAGAATATTATAACATAAAATGCCTTCCTTATCATTTAATTAATCTTGTATATGTGTTGAATGAGTTATCTGTATCACGTATAATAAAGTAATTTGATGAGGCACAATTGGATATCGTTTCAATTTTCTAGGAAGAATTAGAAAATGTTCAAGTATAAATAATAAAACATTGTATACTGTATTTGCAGTAGTAATTTTCCTTATGTAGTAATTTACATATACATTATACAATGTTTCCTTTTTTTGTATCATACAAAAAGATTAAGTAAATTTAATTGATATTTTTGTCTTGCAGATTTTTATTTAAAAAAGGAAAGAGACTCGCTGAAAATTCAGTTTTAATGACACTAAATAACGACGATTACGTGTTGACAAAGATTGATTCATATCATAACTAGTCATAACTATCATCATTGAATCATTATAAAACTTGTTGATTATAGTTATGAGTTTATGTGTTCAGTTATATATATATATATAAATGTAAATATAATTTCTGCAATTGTATAGAGCAATTATGATAATGAGAAAGACAAATAAATCTGTGAATAGTTTCCTATTATTAATTTGTAAAGGACTACATTGTTTATTTTAATTACCTGATTAATAAACATTAAAAAATAACAAACAAAATGTTTACATACAAATAAAATGTTATATTAATTTATTATTGATCTAATTCCTTATATTTTGAATTTATAATCTGTTTATTTTACACTTATTATAAAGGATAACTTGCTCATTAATTTATTTAATATTTCTCCTTTGCCATTATAATAAATATTACATAATGGTAATTAATTATTACGCATAATCGGAATATTGTTTAGAATTTATTAATTATTATAAAATAGCAAAAAAATAGCTTAATTTTGAGGGCAGAGATGTTTTTTTTATAAAAATTGTAACTGCTAATAACGAGTAAAATCTTTATTAAGTCCGACACCACTCGAGATATGACACGTAATTCCCTCTATCTCCTCACCCCTTCGATCTATAACCACCAAAATTTAAGAGGATAAATCTCCCTAATACACAAACATTCCAGCAAAATTTCAGAAAATTTCGACAAAGGGTACGTGAGTTATTAAGCTTTAAAATAGGTGAATAAATATAAGGGAAAGAAGAAAAAACCCCAACTTTTTTCCTAATTCTTAAACTTGTTAAAAATTAGAATGATTTATATAAGATAAACTCAGTTTTATAAAATAAAATATATAAATATTTATATATTTGAATATTATGACGTAACATATAAGTTATTTATATACATTTCGTTCTTAATCTACATCATAATATAAATATTTCAATATTAGAGCCAAAATGCATTACTAGAAACATTTCGGTTCCAATATTGTTGTAAAAACCATAGAGAACGACCATCAAAAGGAAATTTTTTATGGCATTATCAGGCTATACATTTCGAGATACAGGATACGAAAATGTCAACACTTCCTCTTTCCCATAAAATCCGATATATTACATCACATTATAATAATTGAAATGAAAGAAGAATAAATCATTTTATAAAATTTTATAGCCCATTTGCAAGAATGTAATTGTTTGTACAATGTGTTTTGTGTGTGTCTGGGTGTGTTGCATGTGTGTATATATATATATATATATGCACAGTATCAATTTATCAAGTATTGCATGTCTTCTGTATACATCTAAAAATACTGAGAAGAATAGCTTATTATTTATATCGATATATTAAAGTTTTCACTTTTGGCTTTATTCCAAAAGACAGCTGAATGTGACCTAAAATATTAGCATTTAATATATCTTTCTAACAAATAAAAAGGAAAATTGTTCATGATAAACAGCGACTCTACTCTATACGTTACATATTTAATTAATATAATCAATTATTTTTATATAATTACCGATGTTTTTCCCCCGTATCTCATGTTCTGTTTATCGACAAATCGTTCAGAATAATGTATTTTAACTGTTCTGTTTTCTGTAACGATGACATTTGCATTGAAATGTCCTCTCTCTCTCTCTCTCGTATGCCATAAAAACAAAATGGCGATTTCTTAAAAGCCTTCGTCGTCTATGACGTCAACTCATATTAAAACGTAATCAAATTTTAAAATTTATTCATATATAGTACTATTTTCTTATAGCCATACTTTCCCACTGTTATATAGGCCTATAACAACCCAGAAAGTAAAAAAAATTACAATTGAAATTATATAAAACTCATTGAAACAACGGTTAAGATTTTATCTCTTGAGGATCCACCAAAAAAAAAAAAAAAAGCTAAAAGCAACAACACGGTTATAAAAGTTCCTTGGACAATTATTCACCCTCAAAGTTTCCGCCACGTCATTTCCGGTTACAAGTCACGTGACGGTCATAATGGTACCATTTCGCGAGAGAGAAACTCACCGATAAGTAGATTCGTAATCAAAGTATTGATACATATAAAAGCGTATGACGTATATCGTTCATTCATTCAGACACTTCGATTATTAACTAAGCTAATAAGTAGTTTAGATTGATGCCCTTTCAGTTAATATTTTGAATTACTAATCATGATTAAACTATTAATATGAGTGGATGACAAGCAGCTTAGTCATGATTAGTAATCAAAATACCCCTAAAAATAGCTGATGTTCAATTCAGTAGCATGCCATGTATCATATCAGTTTGTCAGATGCTTTGATTACTAATATCATTAATAACTCGCTTGTCATCTGAATTCAGTTAAATGCTTTGGTTGCTAATCATGATTAAGTTGCCTGTCATAGAAGTATCCAATAACTCCATCTTGAATAATGTTTCGTGTTCTTTCAATGAGAGAATTCCACTTAGTAACGTATTTAAAAGTGAAAAATACTCGTAATTAATAGATTAAATTATGAAATATTTCACAAATTTTTAAACTTAATTATTTAATTTTCGTAACCCACAAGTAGCCAAGTAGGTAACATCACCGAACACGTGGAGTGTTACGCTTCTTCACGTTTGTAAAAACTTAATTAGGGAGCCAATTTCCCATAAAAGTCCTCCGGAAATCACGTTATTTTTTAAATGAAATGACGATTAAAAATTGCATCCCGGTATTATACAACAGTTAAATACATTTTTATACGAAAATTTCATGCTCTTAACACAGTACAACATCCTTTCTTTATAGAAAAAAAAAAAGGAATAAAAATATCAAAGTTTTTTTTCTTTTCCTGTTTCCAGAACAATACCAAGATTCGTAGATCTTACATTGAATTTATCCGGTTCCATATGGATGAAATTCAAGTAAATACAATGATGTTAAGGAAATGTTTACGACAGACAAACGTTTCTATAAATACGTTTCTTTCTCTGTGTTTTATACATAAGACATCAGACATAAAAGATTTTAACGAAAATTAGAATTTTTTTATTTATATGATAATCGGTTTTGACAAATAGTTTCGAAAGGAATATCTCTACCGATTTTTTCAATTCGTATCGACATAAATTATTACGATTTTTATGCACCATGTCTTGCATACTTCATAAGAAACTTCATATATTCATAAGGACTTCAATACTAACTTACGTTTTCTATAGCACGTTCGATTATATTTGTATAAAACGAACACAATGTCTTCGTCACAATACCGGGCTTCAATTTTTTAAACACATTTAAATTTAAAAATAAAAATGACGCGACTTCCGGTCCAAATTCGAATTTCTTACATAGTTAATTGGGGTCTCGTCCCCTAACTTTCCAAATCTAGTCTCGATTTTCATCTGTTCTCGAGATTAATAAAGAACGACGGACAGACAGACGAATTTAGAGAGAGAGAGAGAGAGAGTTAAAGTTACTTATATAATTACAATAGAAGGTTATTTATGGCATCGTAAATTAAGATGTTGGATTAATTGTATAATATTTATACATTAAACACAGCACATCCTGTATAGCGTGAATTATACAGTTTATTTTTTATTAAATAATATTCTAAGAAAATTCACCACATAAATTATTCTACTTTCCCCTGTTCTGTTATACGTAATAACAGGGGGAAAGTATCGCGATCATTAAAAAAAATGACCCCCCTTCTCCCAAAACTTTTACAATTTTGGACTCGGTGTGCCTTGAAAAGTCCATAAATGCAATAAAACCCGGGTGTTTTCTCCTGTATGTATAGATTTTTTTAGTGTTTGTGTGTATGTGGGGAGGGGGCGATTTTATTCACCAAATTTAAAGCTTAATAACTCCCGTGTCTTTTGTCGAAAATTTCTGAAATTTTGCAGAGAGGTTCGTGTATGAGATGTATTAACGCTACTAAATTTTAGTGGTTAAAGGTCAAGGGGGTGGAGAGATAGACAAGGTCATGTGTCATATCTCGAGTAGAGTCGGACTTTACACTCTTGATTAGTATTTACAAATTTTTTTTAAGAAATAAAATTCATCTCTACTCTCAAAATTAAGTTTTTAACCGTTTTATAATAATTAATAATATAAAAAGTATTTATTTATTTATTTATTTTTTAAAATGACAGATGGCACCACACACGATTTTAAGTTGTTTTGCTGGGAAAGTTATGCAACTCGTTTGCTGGATTTATGTAATTTTTTTGAAGTTACTTTTAAATAAATTTATAACTAAATATAAAACTTAATTAATTTACACTTAAATTATATTTATTAATTTAAATATTCTCAAGACAGTCAAAATTCTAAAAAGTTTACTATTTACATTAATTAGTAATTAATAACGTTAATTGAGAATTCTAAAGCATTGAAGAAATCCTGTGATTTATTAATGAATAGCT